ACAAGCATGAGAAAACTTTGACCCGCCAAGTGTTTTGGACTTCAACTTCCACAATTCCTAACTGGCTGGGATTTCTGAGAGTTGAAGTCCAAAACACCTGGAGGGCTGAAGTTTGTCCATGCCTGGTATAGAACGTCAAGCCTTAAACCATAGCACATTGCATCAAAACAAGGTATATTGATGAAGTTGTAGGAGAGTAAATAATCTGCATTTTTGCGGTGTGGATAACTTGAAGTATTTGCATATGGAAATGCATAGCAATTTGGTGACATGATAATTGCATTGCTGCATTGTTCATTACAAAATTCTTGACATAGGATTATGCAGTATATCTCTCCTGCTTTTTTCTACAAAAAAAGAAGAAAGGAAAACTCCCATTGGAAAAGGCACCAGTTGCAATAAAATTTGCATGCCATGTATATTCAAAGAAGCACTAGAATTAGTATTTTGTTAGTGGGCCATTTTGCACTGTCTATGTGTCCCAACTGTGCATAGTAAAAGAAGGAGATCCATATTCCAGTTCTTGAGATAGTTGTAGCTAATGATTAATAACTTAAAACTTGCCCTAGCCTTTCTAGGGAGGTGGATAGTTTGTACACAACTGGTTGTGTATACCCATCCTCGTCATCACTGTCATATTAGCATTACAGGTGACATCCCCAAAGTATCCCCACTCTCAAGAGCACCACCAAAAAAAGTCAATCCCAAGTTTTTATCCGGAAAAAAACCCAAAGCAAAAAATCTTTCAAAGGCAGTTGGAAGTACTACTTCTATTATACTAAAATAATTGCTGTCATGAGAACGTAGGGCTTTCTAGAGCTCCAGAGAAGCCTAAGAATAGTGAGATTTGTGGCCCTTCAAGCTCTAGGTGTGTTCTTGGTTTAAAACAAGAGTGTTTTCCAAAACCTTCAATACAGTGTGTGCTCTCCACATATCCTGCTATTGGTATGTGAAACAATTTAGTTTGTCAAACAAATCAATTCAGTGTTCATTTAGAAGAGGTAGCAGAAAGAATATTTCAAATTAACAATAAAATAAATATTATTACTAATGTCTGTTTCAGCAGAACAAGCTGCTGTTTATTTTAAATGGTTTAAAATTAATTAAGTACATTCTAGGAAAAAAACAGATCTTTTCTGCATCTTTGAAGATAAGAGAAATTGAAGGTGTCATGCTGACAACAGACTATTTTTGTTACCAAATGCAGCTGGATGGTGGGAAAACAGAGCAATGTCTAGATATGACAACTTAATACTTATAGAACATTGAAGGATTTGAGTAATTTGTTGCCTTGAGCCACGTTTCTCTGTAAAGCAGTGCAGAAAAGGAATAATGCTGTAAGACTGTCAGAAAAACACTTGTAATTAAGGACATTTCTATAGCTCTTGAGGGCAAGAGCTTTTCAGAAGGATTTCTAATGTTGATAGCTAAGAACACTTCCTGGAAATTAAAAACAATTCATGCGTAGAAGAAAATCAAGTTAGCATTCCTAGCTGCAAGAGGGGAAAGCTCTGACACATCTGTTTCATTTCTTCTTCTTTTTTCCTACCATTGCCCCCCTTCAGGTCTATAGAGCTCTAATTGCTCTCATTTTAAATAGCCATAGGATAGAATGAAGACTCTAATCCTAGACATATCTTACATGAACATCAGTTCATTTGGAACCAGCTAGAGCTTAAGTGAGTGCATTTGGGGAATGTGAAACTTAGTTGTTATCTTTCATGCACTGAAGAGCCATCATACTGGCTCCAATTATGTTATTCCTAGGATAATGGGAATTTCCCTTCACTTTGGTTTTGATCAGCTTATAGCAAAATTCACATCATTGAAATATGGAGAAATTGCAAAAGTCACAGATTTGCCAATTCCAATATATTTCATATCCCTTTTTAAAACCATGGACAGGTACAAGATAGGAAAAGATCCTTCAACTTCAAGGATCCCAGTTGTGCTGGACTTTGTACTTTTACAAACACAAATGTTTAGCTATTTGAGGATCCACCTATATAAGATAATGCATTTCTTAATGGTGTGGATTTTTTAACATAGCAAGGCATGGGAGTGGAATTATCATGCATGAGAAGGGTAATAGACCTTTCCTTCCTTTTTAGACCCATTGAAAATCCCCTCTTCACTTTCCACAGTTGGAGGAAACAAGAATTCCAATCGAGCCAGTGAGAGCTTTCTCCATAAACCTAACAAATTAGCAGGGAGGGATGGTGAGGAGGTGTTATTCAGGATTGGCAGTTGGAACTTGTTCACTACACTATGGCCCTGATTAAAGTCGATTAAAGTATGCATCAGATTGCAGGGTTTCAAATGTGGGAGATAACGTCACGCAGATTATGGTTTTATATAATCAATTAAATATTATTTTAAAAATATATTCAGAAGAAAGAAATGTTAACATTACCTCTAGACTCACCGTAACCCTAAAAGCAATGCAGTATTATTTCATCAGTAGACTATACTGCTATCATTGGGCTCAATCCAACAACTTCTAACTACTAATGTTTTTCATCTGGAGCAGCATGTGCTTAATGTGACAAAGTCACTGAAATGTGGAGCTTAAGTAAATTGTTCACATTATTGAATAAATAGAGATATTGTTTTTTCATATATTGTTAGCCCTCCATTTTGACAGATGTTCCACCCAGGGATTCAAACATCCACAGTTTGATTTTCCCAAAAGCAGCCTTGACTTTGTTATTTATATAAGGAACACAGTTTTCCTATACCATTATATCTAATAGAACTTGAGCATCCAAGAATGTTGGTATGCATTCGGGAAGGGGGCATTGTCGATCAAGGGCTCTCTGTATGTGTGTATTTGTGCACATTTATCCTAAGCTGTGTGCACATTTATCCTAAGCTAATATTAGGCTGAATGTGTTTAACAGACAAAGGCCACAGCATTCTTATTTTTGGAGTCTTGTGGCATATGGTAAATGTAACAGCTAGGATGCTGTTGATGTATTACACTAGTAATTGTATGTTTTCCATGATTGTCCAATGGTGGTGATGCATTCCTTTGATGATATACCATATTTACCCAAGTCTAATGCTCACCTTTTTTTGGCTACACTACATTGCCAAATTGAGGTGCACATTAGATTTGATGGCATGTGAAAAGGCCCAAAGGAACCCAGAATCCTGGAGGCAAGACAGGAGGGGGGCAGTAGCCTCAAGGTTCCATTTGACCTAGAGAAGGAGGAGGAGCACCCTTTTGGTGACCCAGTCATTCCTGTCTCTAAGCTGCAGATCCTGCCTCCTGGGTAGCCCTTGAGGTCTCTTACCTCCCCGCCCCCCTCCCCCGCCTTAGTCCCATGTGGTTCCCAACTAGCCTCATTCACGAGGCCTTCAACCCCCCCCCCCCCCCCCAGTTTTGAAGGCCTTGTTAATGAGGCCAGTTGGGAATCTTGTGTGGCTGGCAAGTTTGGCAGTCTCAGCCTGACAGAGGGGCATGACTTCCCAAATAGCTTCATTCATGTTGCTTGCCTCCGTAACATGCTGTCCCTGTGCTGTTGAATGCACAACTTTCAAAAACAAATCCATTTTTTGGAATGTGCCCCTTCAGAATTGAGGTATGGATTATGTTTGATGGCACATTATACTCAAGTAAATACGGGTATCCAATAAGTTGTGCTACACAATTCGAGTGACTTCTTTGAACAACACAAAATGAATACATCCAGGTGATGGAAGTGAGAACAGCATTCCACATGCAAAAATGTTGCAGATGCACAATAATGTGCCTAGAGTAGTTTGTCAGTATATATTGTGCATTTTGTATTGTATCTTTTCTTTGTCTGTTGTGCAGTGAGGTGATAGTTATGTACATTCTCTATTTCTTGTACATTGCATTCATATAGTGGTATTCAATATCGGGATGGCATAGTGCAACTCCATGAGTGATACTCATGCTATGCAAACCAAAACATCTTTTTTTTGGACAGCCAGCTTTACTTCCTTTGCCGCCACAGGACCATGGTCTTTTTTCTCCTGCCAGCATCACTTATGCTGGTGCGTTAATGCTAGTCATTACACCAGCAAGATTCCAACCATCAAGTAATACACTGATTAAGTTATTATTTCATGTACAACATTCCCTTAAACTGGCATATTGGGCCTCTTCAATGGATTGCAGTGATGCCCTATGGACCAAGCCAGCTGTATGGACCCATTGTGGATGGCATTTTCTCCCTCCTATCAGCCCATGATAGACTGAAAGCCACATGGGCTTGGCCTCATGTAAGCCGCACCGAGTCCCCATCGGGGGAGATGGTGGTGGGGTACAAATAAAGTTTATTATTATATTATTATATTTTTATTTTGCTTGGGAAAATGCACTAAAAACAGGGCTTTGACCTTTTCTTTTCTTAAAAAAATTGAACTCACACATAAAATCAATTATGGAATTATACAAATTAACTACAAACTACATTAACACACATTAGTGACCTAAAATAATAAAGGCAAAAGAAAAAGAGAGGAAAAGAAAGGCTTTTTGGCTTCCAACTGCACAGGTGATGATGATATTTATTGTTTTGCCCAATTTAGTATCATTTTATTTATCATTCAGACTATATAAGATAAGCTTCCTTCAACTGATAACATCTCTTGCCTTCAAATGCTATTACTGGTGACTTACTCCAATGATTTCTTAAATATGAAACAAGAGATTCGCAATTTTGCTTACATTTCTCTGCTGCATTATCCTTGGTCAAAATGGTCTGTGTGTCCATAACTATCAACTCATATGTCTTCAACAGCTCATTTTCTATTGATGGAATTATAGTGTCTTTCATCTTTTGTGGGAAGAGTAATCTTGCAGCCTTGGTCATATATTGCAGTCTTCTTCCATTTTCCCCTTTTTTCTCAGTTAATTACCCCAGGAAATAAAATCCAATAGCCAAACAAGAGTCTAGATTTGCCTTTTTTGTGTGTGTGTACCATTATGTGTACATTCCTAAAATAAATCTGCATTTCCCTTCTTCCAGTATATGACAGCTGCTGCACCTATGCAAGGGACCTACATTCCCCAGTACACTCCTGTGCCTCCAACAGCTGTCCCTCTTGAAGTAAGTCTTTTTCATCTGTATTTGTACATGAATGTGCACATTTTGTTCTACTCTCCAGTGTAAGCAATGATGAGATCTCATATTAGGTTACTTTTTTTAAAAAAAACTCACCTCAGAGATATATGTAAGTTTCATTAGCATTTGGGTTTTTACCATGTGACAAAATTGAATATTCCATTGGATACTTTCTGAAGTTGGTGAAGGCGGGGAGGGAAATGAAAGCCAGCCATGAGATACCAAACAAAAAATAGGTTCAAGAAAAGAAAATATAGAAAAAGGAGTACATGACACTATTATTAGCATAAGGTTTATGTCATATGTGATTGCTGAAAGTCAAGAGCAAGCAGAAAGCATGACTGAGAACAGGACACCTTCCTCTTGTATATGCAGACCTGGGGGATGCTGCACTGACTGAGTGCTTTTTCATCCTCGATGAAGGATTTGCTCCCTCCCTCCTTGGGTTGAGTCCTGTTGATGACAGCCTGATGAGTAAGTATGTCCTCAGCACTGTAGTCCACAAGCTACTCAGAGAACTACAATCTGACTTCTCCTGCTGTTCATCTTCATAAGGCCTTTTGGACAAATAAACAAAAAGGAAAAAAGAGGGACCTCTGAGGGAAAGAAGGAAAGGTGGTGTTCATTCTTAAGTTCATATATTTACTTTTAGTTCCGCACAATTTCGTTGTAGTCTACTTTTCATCCAATGATTATGTGGTGGACACAGCATGGACTCGTTGCTTTTGTTTCAAACAATGCCTCTTTTAGACTAGATTTGATTGCCACTCTTTCAATAGCTGAGAACACTTTTCTTAAAATGCCAGGTTGGCACACCTCCACTATAAATATTGAGGTTCCACAAAAAAAGGTTTTCTGCACTGTTGCCTGCAAATATTGGTTGTCCTCAATGCACCCTGTGTATCTGGATGTGTCACTTCTCTTTCATCCATCTTTTGAAATCTTCACAGTACCGTGGTTTTTCACTCTCTATCATGTTTTGCTGTTCATGTTAACCAAAACACTCCTTTTGAACATTTTTCATTAATCTTTGTAAAAGAATACTATGCTACACATTTTAAAAAGCTGTGTTTGGTTTCTAAATGATTCTTAACAATAATTGGCTTCCTCATCAACAGAAAAAAATATTATGATCTATTTCTGCTTCTAACAAGAACAAATCTGGATTCTTAAAGCCACTGCTTCAGTTGTTTTGCAGTTGTGCTGAATGGTAACTACAAAAGATTTTTAACCCAGAGGGTCCACAAACTCTTCTTGAGAAACATAAGTAAAATAAATTAGTGAACAAACTAACATGTTTCCAGGGATTGTTCAATACACAGATTAATATGATTTTCAAAATAGCAAAAATGTACTTTTGTAAAAAGAATTGTCAGTTTCTAAGTAACATATGTTCAGTTTTAAAATCATTACAGGGGTGGGAGTACATGGTCCTCCAGGTGACATTGGAGTACAAATCCCAGCATTCCTCACCAATGACACTACGAGCTAGCACTGTTGGGACTTGCAGTCCTACCACATCAGGAGGGCTGCATGAATTCTGTGCCCATACAGCACTGTTAATCAACTTCCGAAAATAGTCAAAATGTCCTTCCATGATAGTTCAAAGCATGATATAGATTTTGCACTTTGAGTGTCACAATTCCAACAAAGGTCTTTGGGCAAGGCTTGATTCTGATTTCACTGTGGTGGGAAGAAAACAACTCTGTCAGGTGAATATTAAATCCCCTTCTGAGATCCAAATCAGGCCAGCCATGATTTATATGTGATAAAATTTAGTAGCCTAATCTACAGCATGTGGATTTCAACACAGTATTATAAGGGATAAGTTTTCTGTAGGCCTCCTATTCAGAGCTGTGATCATGGCATGCCTCTCTTTTAAACATGTAGCATTTCTGTCATAGCAGCATGTGGCTTCTGATGTGCCTGACATCCAATAATATAAAGCCATAAGTGAACCTGCACAGAAATAATGAGGTTGATGGGACCATGCTGACTTTCTCCTCATACTAGTTGCTGCAATTATTAAAAGCAGTAAGGCCCTTTGTTTTCTTGTTCATTTCTTCAGGGTGTTGTTGCTGATACCTCTCCGCAGACTGTAGCATCTTCATCACAGGAAACCAGTGGTCAACAGCAACAGATGGCAGTGGAAACATCCAATGAACATGCATCTGCATATTCCTACCAACAGTCAAAGTAAGTTGATAGTGTTCATTCCAGCAACACTAAGATGTGGGTAGCTGCTATTTATGTTTTAAAGATAAGGACTGGAAATCTTTGCAGACTTACTTGAGATTAAACCTCATTGACTTATGTAGGAGTTGCTCCAGAGAAAACATGCATATGTATTCACTGAGGTAACTGAGATACATATATGGCAACATTCTAAGACAAGAGTGGACACATCTATTGTGTAAAACAGAACAGAACAAAATCTGTAAGCAGCCAACAGTCCACTTCCGATCTTGAAAAAGCAGAAATTTTGTATTCTAAACTGTGCCAAAGGGGAAGGCTACAACTTATTTAAACAGTGATCTGCCTTTTATGAACACCCCCACCCCCAATTGTTTGTGGGCAAGAAATTATTATCTAGGTTACCCAGAAAGGTCAAGGTCTCCCGGAGAGGCACTTTATGTAACATTGTTCAAAAGCCAGTGATGATGTCTAGTAGAGGTGATTTTTAGATATCATTATTGGCTGCAAAACCCTGTCCAAATTGTTTCTGTTCATCCACAGGCAATACCCAAAACTGTGTTGTAGGCTTCAATCTTAGTCTAATAAAGGTGATGACAGCCAGTATGGTAAAATAGATTTAGTGCAGGACCAGTACCCCATCTACACTGATGACCTAGGTTGATGTAGATTAAACTCAACCATGCAGTGGTGAAATCCTGCATGGAGCTGATCTGCTGTAAGACAGGGCAAGGCCACTTTTATGTGACCCCGAATTAGTAAAATTCAAGGGAAAGTCTGCATTCTGGCCCAGCATTCAGGGTTTACCTTAACCTAGGGCCAGAATTCAGAATCCCAAACAGAACCAGACACAACTGTCCCCATTGCCATCTTGCATTCCCTGGTTTGAACAGCACATAGACATGAAATGGCTGTTTTTTCCCTTGCCTCCTCCCCACTCCCATGTCACAGTGGTCATGACATCACATCTTCCTGTTCCCGTAACTTCCCTGATGCCAGCCAGGGCCATGAGGAGTGCTGGGAAGGGAGAGGAGGGAGATTTTCTCCTATTCCTTGTCCCCCTCCCTCTGGCTGATGTCTGGGCAAGTGACAGGAAAAAGGTAGGTCCCATGTCATGGCCAGAGGCCATAGTGACATGGAGGGCAAGGGAGTGGCTTTTAGGGTGACCCCCCACTGGTGCCTAAACTGTCTCCGGCACCCCTGGGCAAAGTGGACTTCTTTCTCTGTGGCAGTTAGAGGAGTCCCTTGGGGACTCTTTTTGTGGGCCTATTTGGCACAATAGATTGGCCTGGAGGAAAAAAAGCACCAGTGTACATGTCCCCCAGGACTCAAGGAAATCAGTTTCAAATCACATTCAGTGAAGGGAACCGGTTCAGGACCTGACTATCTTCATGAACTCATATGAACCAGCACATATTTTAAGCTCATCCAGGGAGGCTCTTCTCTCGCTTCCACCGCCCTCACAAGCTCGGTTGGTGGGGACGCGGGAAAGGGCCTTCTCTGTGGTGGCCCCTTGGCCACATCAGAGTCTATGGTAAATCTATGAATGTAGAGTGGGGAGCAGAGGCTTGACTGTACTTGTTTAACAATCACAACAACAAACAAATGGTTTCCTCCTGAATTAGGTTGCTGAAAAAGAAGACTTGGATGAAACCAGGAGGAGATATTTGTGTGAAGGACTTCCTGAATATGGTGCCAAAGCAGATTACGAAGTCCTAGGCTGCTCACAAATAGATTAATTATTTGGATATATGCACATTGGGGTTTTGTTTTGCTCCTGACTGTTATTGATGGACCTCAGTCTTCCAATTTTTGAAATAGTTTGGCCAACATTTGGGGCATTTGATATTTTTAAAGTTTATTGAAGGGATATGTACTGCACTCCAAGATCTCCTAGTGTGACCTTCTCTGTTATCCTATCGCATTTCACTCCCACTTTAGTTAAATTGAAGGAATCTGTTTTCTCTGTTTTACGCACTGAGAAGAAAACCTGAAGGCTGCCTTCAGTGTCATCTTCAGTACCAGGTGTGCTTTTCAGCTTCCATTTGTTTTTCCCTGAACTACAGGGACCAATGGACTGAACAACCCATAATCAGTTTGCTGTCTTCCTATGCAATTTTGCTTTCATTGGATGCAATGAGAAGACAATGGTGTCTTTATTTTCCCAAGGCCAGACATGTTTAGAGGAATACATTTTAAAGAAAAGTGGTTTTTTAAAAAGAAAAAAATGGGAAAGATGTATTTCTACATTATTTTGACTTGTTGATCATTTTGCTTGTTTTTACAGACAATAAACAGGACTGAAAAATGTTGCTCTGAAAAGTTTGCCTTGAATAGAGAAACTTCATTGAACAAGAAGTTGGCTTCCAGTTTGCACAGGCGTCAACAGATTTTTCTTTTTCATTTTCTACCTTACCCAACAAAAAACAAAACAGTGTTTCTATGTGCTGTGCAAATTGTTCAGTCATGTAGTCTGATAGTTTTATTTTTGCTATTTTTTTATTAAAGAATAAAAGACCCACAGCGAAACACTGGGTTGATATTTCATCTGAATGAACATTTGAAATTCAGAATTTACTTGCAAGTGTAGATAATTTGTTTCTGTTTTCCAAACAACAACAGAGAACCAATGATGTCACGAGGGAGGAGGCTGAGATGAAAACTAATGATCTTCCTCAAGAATCCAGCTATTCTTTCCCCCTTTCTTGTTGAATTCAAATGTGTGTTTGATTTAGGGTTTTTGTTTATGATTTTTTTTAAAAAGAATTGTTTAGGTAAGGTTTATCTTGAATCTTAATTGCCTTAATTTTAAGGACGTCAAAGGCTCTCAAGGCAAGCTGTCAACGTCTTGGTGAAAGAAAGGAGAAGGAATTCAAAATTAGACCAGGATCAACTGGGGATGAAGCTCAAGAGACTGAATTTTTAGATGAACGGCAACAACAAAATGATAAACTGTACAGTTTACCAGAAAATGATTTTTTTCTTCTTTTGAAGAAAACCTGTTGATAAAGGAACTGTGGCAACTTCAAGAATTAAAAAAGAAGACTTTAATGAACTTTCTTCATGTTGACAGAGAAGAATATAGAAGGTTAAAGTGTTTTACAATAAAATTATTGAATGGGGTGGGGAGGGGGATCAACTTGCATTTTAAGGAATGCAGGTTTTTTTCTTGCAGAATGGAGATTTTTTTAATTTACAAAGCGTGATCGCTGGCAAAAGCATTAGTGCTTTTTATCTGCAGTCTTTTTTATGAGCTTTAAAAAAGTTTTTAGTCTGCTTTGCTTGTCACATTGCAAACACCTAGCTTAAAAGCATTTTTGGGGGGAGGGGGACTTACGTAGATAGGAGCTTATGGTCAAAAAAAGTGCAAAAAAAAGCAATAGCTAGAAGAAATTGTTGACAATTTCTGTAGTCTTTCCTAGTTGTGATCAAAATGCAGCCTATGGATGGCCTATTTTATACCAAAGATGAAATGACACCCTACCGAAGTCCAGAAGATAGAGGGGTTTTTTTTCTTCTTTCTTTCTTTTTTTAAAAAGAAAAAATCTTTATTTGACCTACATGGCCGGACCAGTTTGTATTTTTATGTTTGTTTAAACTATCTTCCACTGGTATTTTGCGTCCTACATACTTAGGCTTCTAATGGAAAGATCTGAGTAGTTGGCATTTAGCACCGCTTAGCAGAATTTCACAGCATGAAGGGATATATGGGTGCCGGCTCTTCTACCCAGGCATGTTTTAACTTTGTTGCATTTTTTGTCGCATTGTCCAGTTTCTTTCTTACTGTCTTCCTTCTTCATAGCATCCCAGGCCCATTTCTTCTTTTTTCATCTTCCAGGACCAGAAAAAGTAGTCCTCAGTTTGTATTTGGGTGTTGTATTCAAGTTAGTTAGAGAATACCAATGACAAGAGAGGTTTGGTGTTTTCATTTCACTCTCCTGTGCAAGAAGAAAATGTTAAGGTGGCTCACAGTTCTTTCATGCAAGCACGAAGTTAACAATCACTTTATACTAACTGGCTTTTTGTGGTCTTAATATGTTTGCTGACAATCACAAATTATTCTGATTAGGCAAAAGACAATAGTAATTAAATTGAATCAGTGCAAACCTATTTTTAAAAAGTAAAATGATATATGGAATCTTTATATGGAGGATTTAAAAGATGGCACCTTGTGTCCCTTCCTTTCAAAATGAGAGAGGGATATCATGCAGTGACAGTTTTGAGACAGGCTGGCCATGGAGAAAGGACCTCCAGATCTTGCCAGCAAGGTATGGAAAGTTTTCCAAGTGTGCATTCCATTCATTTTCAGCTCCCTTACACTCCACTACATTTTCTGAATTTAAAAGTGGTACAAGAATCTAGGAATCTCTTCCTTGCAAGAACTAGTTAAAGAAAATGAAGCTATGTATTGTAAAAGCTCTATGAGTGGTCTGTGGTTCATGGAGAGAACTCACCCTCCCCCTTGCCACATGAATCAGGGGCTGTCCCTCATCGTGCTCATGAAAAGGGGACTTAGAACTCCTAGAGACTTTTGCCCCCAAATTAGACCTGTCATGAGGAAACATCCTTTATAAGAGACAACAAAATCTAGCAAAGGAAGCACTTAAAAATGAACCAAAATATTGAAATGGCCCTACATTTGGAGGAAAATGAAAGGGTCATTTCAGTGACTGAGGTATATTCAGAACAGGGTAACCATATTGATAAGAAATAGATAGATAAAATATAAACAATTTAACAGGTTTATTTTGAATTAACCAGATTCAATTAAACCTACCACAAAAAATCAATTGTAATGAAAAGAGGGTTGTGCAGGAGCACTGTCGGGTTTGTGCACAGAATCTGTGGTTACTTTGAATAACTTTTAAAAGAAGCAAGTATTTTTTTAAGAATTCTAAAAAGGTTTTCCTTATTTTTCATGTAGTTATCCTAGGTTTGGTGGGGATAGGGTTGGGTTACCAGAACAAATGGCTGCTAAACATTAAAAAGGAAAAAGAAAATAGGATAACACCTAGTGAACCAGCACAAACAAGAGAGGCCTTGGTTACCTGGAAAATATTCTAAATGTAGATGTGGGATCCAGTAACTACAGGTTAACTTTTCTGGTGAAAAGGACCACACAGCACTGGGGAGGGGGGTGTCAATATTATGTACAGAGATCTCTAGCATCTTCCTTTCTTTCATGCGCTTTGACATTGCTGTTTTCTTTATGCGAGTATCACTTTTCTTTTCTCCTCCAGAAAACAAAGTGTCAATTGGAGTGATGTATTAAAAATAATCAAGCAAGCCTTATTTTCTACCTTTTTTTCTTCTATGTATAAATAGGGTTTATCCTTCTGTGGCACATTGCTGTTGGATATGAAAGAAGCATGTGTTTGGTTTTTTATTGTTTCTGTATAAATTCTAGTTTGGCGCAAAGAAAAGTCTCATTGCTGTTGACAATGAGGCTGCAAGGTAGCTACCATGTGGCTGATGGAAATGCTGGGTACCTTCCTGTGTCTATTCGGAACTCTGCTGCTTTATTTATAAATTCTGATCATTTTGTTCAGGTATGTTCAGCAGATCAGATTAAGCTATCACAGTGGGATTATTCTTGAAAGTCAAGCACCCCTCTTCATCCATCATCATCAAAAAATTAACAAATAGATTGTATCCATTGCTTCAGGCATTCAACCATTTTGTGTTTTATTTTTTAAAAATTTCCTTTTTGATTTTTTTTGCAAAGTTTGCCCTTTAATAAAAAGCAAATAATGAAATATCCTCTGCCCCAATGGGTTGTCTCACCATTTGAGACAGAACTTGCCTAAATTACCTTGAGAGTCACCAGTCATATTGGCAGATTCTAGGAATTGTAAACCAAAAAGTGACTTCTCAAGCTCTACGTTGATAAATCCACTTTGATGCACAAACAATTCATTTAAAAACTTCAAGACTGTTTTGTAACTATGTCCAGGACTGCACTCCTGCATGATATCACTGAATGTGACCATGTACCCCCCACCAAAAAAATAGTTTATTAACAGCTTTATTCACTTTAGAATTATAAGTCCTCCTATTCATTGGGGGCTATGGTGCTGTGGTAATTGTTCACAGAATCTTTGTTTAATGTTTTCAAGATTGGGTGCCTCATGCATTGGCATTGTACTAACCTAATTATAAAGCTGGACAAAATACTCTCTGGAAAAATTCTTCATGCATGAATTCTTTATCTACCCGGGCTTCCAAGTATAGCGCTATGATTTTTCATCAACACATAACTTTTACACCGTGGTTTCCTTTAGACAACACAATTATAGTACTATATTTTGTTTTAACTGCCATGACAGGATGCTATGGAATATTGCAATTTGCAGCTTAACGGGGTATTTAGATCTGTTAGTCAGATAGCTCTAGTGCCTCACCAAACTACAAATCCTAGGATGCCATAGGATATTGCCATGGCTGTTAAAGTGAACTATATTACTATAATTATGTAATGTGAAAGGATCACAAATGATAAACTGGCATGGTTTTAAACATTCCAAAATTCAAAAAGTAGTTTTCCAGTAGAGAACAGTGTGGCGTGCCATTAGAAAATGAAATAAAAGGGCTATTTTAGGAAAGAGCACCAAACAGGTTTGCTTGCACACCTAACTGTGCTTGCTAGTTTCCAGCCCAAATATAGAATGTATATTTCAAAATTTTAGCCTTGGTCTAACTAATAGTTAAAGGGTTTTGTTGACTCAGTGAAAATTCTTTTTAAAGTGCTATTTCACTAATCTTTTTGAAATAAGCACCTCCTTTCCCACTGAAATTCAGCAATTCCTTTCCCACTGAAAGAAAGTCTTTGAAAGTTGTGCAGCTTTCAACCCCTTTTTGCAATTCAGGACTTATTCTGTGGTTGTGTGCAGAAAACATTTTTTTTCCAGACAGAAACAAGTTTCTTCTTTTCAAAGAGTTTTCTGCACATGAAATCTGTTTCTTATCCAGAAAATTCTGTTTTCTGCACACAAATTTTTGCACAGAAATAAGTCTCAAATTGAGAGGATTACGCTGAGTTCTGGATTCTTCTCATTGGGGTGTATCAGCGCTCAAAAAATTACTGCAGTTACTGCCCCTCTAGCATAGAAACCATTAGCCACCACTGACAGTGACTCACCATTTGAAGGAATAAGATTCATGGTAAAAAGAAATAACTGGCATCCATATAATATGCAGGTTGCAAGAAAATAAGGCCCCTTATTAATCAATTTACAGGGTTCTGTGTTTCTCTACCATTCTGCTGCACATATTTCTTTATCACCACTAACTGAATAAACTAGAAGCATTAATATACTTCAGCTCTTCCAAGGTTTAACTCATTCTGTACCTCAAAATCTACTTTGTAGGTCAGAAAATAAAAACAATGCAGAAGAATCATGTAGTAACATAGCAATGGTTCATAGGCCTTCCTTTTGATCACAACCCATGCATCCATCCTCTGGTAATTGCAGCATCAACAGGATGATGATGAGTCTTGTGAGTATGGAAATAACCAGTTTATACTGTGCTAAATGTTGAAGTGCAGGTACTCAAAGGAGTATAAACAAATCAGGTAGTTATGCTCATCCATATCAACAAACTTGTTTTAGGCATATTCATCTCTACAAAACCAATGATTTTGCAAACCTGTTGTAGAGAACGCCACTCCAAACACTTTGCATGATGACTGGGATAACTTGCAACAATATTTTGTTCCAGACAAAATGTATTGTCATTATTTTTCTTTGGTAATGAGAGAACTACTTCTAAATTCACAGAGGGGAAAAATAAGCTGAGTGGATAGCTGGTAATGTTGTTATTCTTCCACATGAGTATGATCCTGGTATTTTAACCCTGATAACCTTGGCTCTAGTACATTATTGGAAACTGGTTAAGGTTACCTATGATTTACAAGGCAGCACAGAAACAGGTAACAAAAAAGCAATTTTTTGCTTGCTTCCCTTCCACTGTGATAACATCTGAGTTGTGCCTTGACTAAATTGCAATAGAGGTGTTATTCTACAGCAGATGGCTTGATGTTTGTGTGCTCTTTCAGCTACTGATGTATTCCAAATTCATTTAAGACAAGTATTCAGTCATGATTATGAATATGAGGTGTTATGAAAAAGAGGTAAGAGGTAGGACTAACATACTGAAAACAGGCTTTAAAAGTTACACAGTTTATCATATAGGATTTCATTTGGGGAGACTTTTGTTTAGGAGATTCATATCTGCAAGATTCTAAATTAACTAGAGGCTTGCAGAATAATCCCAAGTGAGGGTGAGAAGAATGAAATTGTGGATGATCTACCACTGCCAAACATCAAGTTTAAATAAGAGTTGAGGACAGCTTTCTTCCAAACTGATTTTTCTAGTGATTTTAACAACTCCAGGCTAGTGTAACTGAAGGAACAACATTCTTTTAAAGGAATTAGGAGGGTTTTTAATCTGCTCCTTACCTGAAAAGAAGCTAATTTGAGGAAGGCTAGCACAAAGGGGAAAACACATTTCACATTAGATAAGTGGTGTGCTATGATATCTCTTCATCTGCCATGGTCTCACTCTATGGAATCCTGTGATTTGCAGTTTTGGGAGGGATAGTTAAAATTTTCAGCCAGAGAGATCTAGTGCCTCTTCAACTCATAAACCCCAGGATTCCAAAGGATGTTGTCATGGCACTTGAAGTGGAATCATTATGTTATAATTGGATAATGTTAAACTGCCCCAGCAGAACATTTTCCAGGTTCTTCTGGAGGCCTCAATTGGCAAACGTTGCTTCCTTCTGGCAGAGCTTCTCTGCACCCAAATTGGTTAGTGGATCTGAAAGTCCAGTAGAACTAGGACATTTTTAGAAATAATTTATTCATGTCATGTTATATTTGTTACAGCTGTGTTCCACTTCTGTGGAAAAAAAATCTGGGGATCAGGCAAGTGTGGGATTATGCCTTGGATTTAATGTTGCATTATTCATTTTATATTAACAGTATCAAGGAAGGCTATTTATGTATGACTACCAAAATCAGCAAATTTGAGAATGCCTAGAGTGTAATAAAGTTTATTTTTAATATGTCACTAAATTATGTTTATAGAATTGAAGGAACCATGTGAAATGCAAAAAAAAAAAAGAAAAGTTGCCTTGGTTCATAACTTTAAGTCTGAAGGTGGCTTTATCAGCAATGCTCCTTTCTTCATGGTATTGCTGAGGCTGAAATGATTGAAACAGGTTTCTATACCATCTCTTGGATAATTGCCTATTTAGTAAAAGTCATGTTAAATGTATGATAACAGGCTTAACATCATATGGTCATCCACATGGTGGGGAAGTAAAATATGGGATTTGAAGATAGTTGTGTTATAGCCATACATGGCCAGAATTTCGCTTCAAGGCTTTATTTAACATGAAATTGGTTGAGATGTAGAAAGAGGTAAAGGTTTTTCAAATCTTCTGCAGAAGCCAAGGATATTCTAGCAGTGTGGTGGAGTTGGAAAGAGAAGGACGCTGCATGTTTCAAAAAACCTCTTTTTTATGCTAGCTTGTTCCTCTACAGTGGTGGGTGAATTGTTTCATTTCAAACAAAACATACCATAATTATGCATGGAAACACCCATGTTCATACATGGCAAGAAAGAGAATTGGAAATTGAGCATATCTTTTTATTCTTTGTGGAGTAAGGATGTAAATCTTTCACTATTTTGTCCTTGCATGCAAAGATGAATAATTGCTATTATTTTCTCCCTGCTGTGGAAGAAAACAAATATATCAGTGCAGTATTCCTCTTGTATCCATGTGTTCCAAAGGAGCTATTCTGCAGAGAAATATACTTCCTTGAGCAAAAAACATGTTTGCTGTGCTGAAATATTGTATTTCTTCACAGAATTGTATTCCTGGAATACTGTGGGACATTCAAATACTAGGAGAAAACTGCAAAAATCTTCCAAATGACATTTCCTATCTGTTAGAGAAGCCGTTTTTCAACCAAAAAAATAAATAAATTTTGTTCATCAGGTTTTAAGAATTTTCAAATATCAGAAAGAAGGTTATTTCTCTTTCAGAAAAAAAACATACCTCATTCTCATATCATCTAAAGTGGATTCCAGTCTCAAAGTCTTCTTCATACCTCAGATAACAGAAAAGAAACAGTATTTTTACTTACTGACATGTTCTTTGTTTAGAAAATAAATGGAAATGTATGACAAATGCTGTAAAGTGAATGTCAGGTTTGCTTCTGTGGAGATTAAAATACTTGTGTTTACATAAATGAGTTTATATTTTGACAGCTATTACATTTGAGGTTCTTCCACCCTAATCATTGTTTAGGAGCTGTGAACAATCTGCTGTTATTTCTCATTTACAGCTAGGCCTTGAACCTAAAAGAAGTTTCATTTAAGAGCTAGTTACTTTCAAAAACTGAAGGGAAGGGGCTCTGTCAGACTTTAGCAGTAATTTTTACTTAAAATGTTTCACTTTGGAAGAAATACTGCACTTGTGACAGATTTTAAACAGTCATTAGTAAAAAAAAAAACCCCCGAAGTGCCAAATGGCTAACTTTGTTTGCATAATTAAGTTTAGGTTGACTCCAGTCACGCGGTGTCTTTGCCAATGGGGAAATGGAGATCTGAAATGAACATGCTGCCAGCCTTATTTACTTATATAAAATGTATTTTCTGCTACCTTTGGTGCTTATACACCTCTGTTCAAACAAGAAATCTGTTGGCATTTGTTGAAATATGGTTAGAGAGGGTGCCAACCTTGTCTCAGTTGGACACTTTCTGTTGTCTCCTTTAGCTGCTCTTCTATCATGTGTGAACATGGAGAAGGTTCACAGGATGTCAGGGTGCAAGAAAGCTGGTCTTGGAGGTAGAGATCCACCCACTATCCTGAATTGAAACCATGCATGGTTTCAACACTTTA